ACCCCAAAAAAAAAAAAAAAAAAAAAAAAAAAAAAAAACCCAAAACAAACAAACTTTTACTGTTAAATCAGGCGTGGTGGCGCACATCTGTAATCCTAGCACCTGGGAGGCTGAGGCAGGAGGACTGCCTCATTTGAGGCCAGCCTGGGCTACATAGTGAGTTCAAGGACAGCCTGAACTACACTGTAAGACCCTGTCTCAAATAAATAAGTAAATAGCCACTGCCGCCCAGATAAAGAGCCCCTCAAACACTCACTTCATATACCCCACACAGACCCATAAACTGCAGATGTGTACACCATCCAGATGATACACATCTGTACTGCAAGTATCCACACTCCCAAAACACCCAACACAGAGCTGCCACATGGATCACAAATTGCCACAGAGCCACCACAACATATACAGCCCGGTGCAAACACAAAGACACCCACCACACACCCAGCACACACGTCACATAGAGAGACCCACACTAAACAGATGCTATCCTGAACTTATTTTGCCCCTGGGAACTGGTCCAGGACCCAAGGGGCTATACTCTGCTGATGAAAACATCCCTCCTGCCTCTGCCACTCTCACCCCTACCTTCTGCCCCAGGCAGCCCATTGTCCAGCTCCCCTGCTGAGCCTGGAGCAGACCGTAGAAAGAGGTGGGATGAGGACAGGCAGAGGCTGAGGCTAGTGACTCAAGCTGCTTGGAGCCCTACCCAAAGTCTAGCACCCCTTCTCTTCTCTCACTGCCCAGGAGATGCCTGAGGGCCTCCATCCAACCCCCTAAGTCAGTGCTTGCTCAGGCTACTGGCCTGAATTCCCAGAACCTGGTCCTAGGGAGTGAGAAAGATTAAAAGGTGGTTAGATCTGGGGGCTCCTCCTAATATGCAGGCCTCTGAGGAAAGAGCCGTCTGGGGGTACCTTCCTGCAGCCCTAAGGCCTAGGGCCTCCAGGGAAGGTTTCCACAGAAACGGAAAAATATTATAAGGAAACACAATACCCGGCAGGGTCACCTGCTGACCGGGCTTCCTGCTGTGTTGCCCACCCCCATCTCACTGCCCTCATAGACTCCTTCTCCAGCCTCAGTCCTGGACTCCTGGCCAGCACCCTCCTTCCTGCTTCTGGGGGTGGGCTCAAGTAGAAACTCTGTACCCCAAACAACATGAAGGATGGCCCAGAGCTGTGCCCCCGACTCCTAATCCCTACCAACCCCTCCCCACAGGAAATCAAAGCTTCCTGCCCCAAAGGAAGTGCCCATCTAGTGAACTCGACCAAACACACACAAACACAGTCCTGGGAGCCTAAGCCTCCAGGGTATAGATGCCCCCCTAGGCCTCAGGCCTTACTGGGCTCCTGCTTCCAGCAATAACCCACAGGCCACTGGAGGCATCAGCCCATATGTGGCTAAGGTTAGGCCAGGGCCAAGAGAATGGGTACTGCCAGAGGCACAGGCCTGGTCCTGGCCCCACTTGGACTGCCATTCCCTGGCTGGGCGACCTGGCCTTGCATTAGCTCATCTTCTCCCAGGCCTCTGCCAACTTCAAAACTATCAGCTCTTAATGAAAGGCCAAGAGAAAGAAGACAAAGGGAAGGTGGAGCTACAGAGCCTTCTGTCCTCAAGGTTCTGAGCAAGCTTGCTTTCAGCTACAGGAGGGTTCCCATTCCCCACCCCATCACATAGAAGTTTCCATTTGCCCAAGGGTTCTATATCAGAACTGAGAAAGTTTCAACTCTTGTGCCCAAACACCACCAAGAATAAAGCTGAGGTTTATTATCCCTAAGTGGGATGGGACACTGTCTTTTCTCTTTATGGCCAGCCCCTCCTGCTTGTTTTCTGGGAAGTGCATTTGTATTTTTCTCATTTCTGCAATGGGGAGACTGAGCTTCAGTGTCAAAGTGCAGTGGCCAGCTTAGAAATGAAAACTTCCCTGCCTCAAGATCACAGGTAGGCCCAGAGAGACACCCAACCAGTAGCTGAACTAAGGGACAGTGGCCTCAAGAGAACACTGCCCCCAACTATTCCAGGTACAATGCCATGGGGTGGCTTAGAGCCTGATTCTGCTCCTGCCCCTGCTGGGAAGAGGCGGACATCCCAGTGGATGCAGGACTTGGTCCAGTCTCAGTTCACTGTGTAACACACACTGGGACTGCTGAGTGCCTTCGTTTCCCTCAGTAATGACTGCAGAGAAGAAAAGTACCTAGTAACTGAGGTGGGTAAAGAACAGGGAAAGTGGAGAGCTATAAGCAATAAGGAGCAAAGAGATGGTTTGCAGAAGCTGGAGAAGGGCCTGGGAAGGTAGTGTATAAAAAGAATATAAGGTAGGGCCAAGATTTAGCTCAATGGCACCTCGCCTGCCTTGTAAGGACAAGGTCCTGATTTCGATCCAGTACAGGAAAAAAAAAGAAAATATTAGGCACGAGGAGGGAGGTATATCTGGAAAGAAACCTCTGGGGTGCTGTTGGGGAGGAATGGGTCACCAAAGTACCCCTTAGACATTAGGAAC